CCCCAAAACCCCAAAACCCCAAAACCCCAAAACCCCATCAAGAGTATCAGTGTAAATATCGCAAGTTAGTTAAATTAAATACCAAATATCAAGTTTAAAGTAATTGCAAGTCATTTTCAGATAGTTGAATCAATGATTCTTTCACTCTTAGAAATTCATAGATTTGTTTGTCCTCTTCGGACTTTAGCTGTATGATCCATACTAATCAATGAACATTTGCACTTCTTGAAGCTTTATGTCATAAAGATCTAGATACCTTTAAATGTAACTTTCACCATCAGTGATCATTTAAACTTTCAAGTTAAGACGAATTTTTTCTCCAGAGTACAATTCAGACATATCACCGGAGCTTCTGAGTAAAGCTGAGTTTTCATATAAGGCAGAATGCTCATTCATTTTTGAATTGTCGTTCCTAGATTTGGTGGCAGACCATGGTTGCTAATCAATTGAAACGTTATTGGGCGATAAGAAATTATTGAATCTTCCATTATCTGATAGCCTTCCTCTTGGAGTTTAAGATACCTAGATATTTGTATATTTATTAAGAGAGTCGCGCCTGCTGTTGAAGCTTTGATTTACATCATACTCTGATTATTTCCATGATTCTGCACCGTCCATTGAAAAGCTAAACTCACTTAATTCTCCTCTATGCTTGAATGTATCAGATATCACTCTGACAGGCTCTCTCAAGACATTCATGTTGACTGAAACTGGATGGACTAGTTAATCTTCAAAATCTTTCAATCCCATAAATGTCTATGCTACAACTTTCCAGTCGTCTTTTTATTCAACAAATATTACTTATATAAGTACTTGGCTGTCTTGACCTGGGGCAGGGAGAGAATATCTAAATATCTCGAAAAATTTCGGATTAATGCAATTAATATTTTTCTTTGTCTTTTTCTATATTCCATTAAATTATACTCTGATTAGACATTTGTTTTGGCTAAAAGGGGAGGCTGGAGCAATTGGAATTTTGAGGAAACCATCTGCATCACATATTTCTATAGCTAACCTTCTTTTGTGTCTATGCATCCTTTCTGCCTCTAAATTTGCAAAGTTCTATTCAATTTCTACTTGCAACTAACTCAGCACCCATTTGAAATGATTTATCTCAAGTGATGTTGGGTAGGGACCTCTACCATCCTTATTTCCATTTGCAATATGCTCTTTAGATTCATTTAGTCTTTTTTCAATGTCTTTAATCAGTAATGGGTAGTTATAGAAGAAGAATTTGTGATTTCTAGTCTCTATCCCTAAAGTCTTGTCATTTCTGTCTCTTGCATGGCAGCATTGAGTACAAGTATTTCCCATTACGGTAATAGCTTTATTGTTATAATTTATTAAATATTATCTTTATTATGACTTAATTTTCAAAACCTTAATAGCATGGGGTTTTGGGGTTTTGGGGTTTTGGGG